CCCATGCACCACCGCCCCCAGGTAATTCCCCTTCGCACACACCCGCCACGCCACGCTCCCCCCGGTCGCCGTCGCAGATTTACTCCCCCCGCCGCCACCGATCCAGGAACTCAGCGCCGCGACGACGGCCGCGGCGTCCGAGCGTGGGACGCGGATCCAGACTGTCTGTGCTTTGCCCTCCGGGGCGATTTTCAGGATGTCGAGCGGGATGGCTGTGCCTGTGAGACCGAGGAACTGCGCGAGGGCGGCGGTGAGATGGGTTTTTGCGGTGAGGGGGTCGAGGGGGCTCTGTGTTGTTGAGGTGGGTGGTTGGGTGATTCTGGTGTTGGACTTGGGTTAGTATGCATGGGTGGATTCGCGGGTGTAGAACGTACAGTTGGAGTTTGAGGTAGGTCCAGGCTGGATTGCGGGATGTGAAGGTTATGACTTTGGCTGCGGACGAGGACGTTTTCGACGCGTCGGTTTCCTCGGGGGATTTTCGCTTGGACGGTGTCGGTCCTGTTTGAGGGTTGTGAGGTCTGTCTATTGTTGAGGCCATTGTAGAATTTGCACTGTAGGTTGTCGAGAGTTTGTTGGTAAAAAAAGTGTTGGCTGCGGAGGTGCGCGATAAAGAAAATGTCCGCGGTCTTGGTGATGTCACGGTACAGCGGACTCTCGAGAAAGCTATGGGCATATCCAACCAGAACTTTGCGATTCTCGGCGAATCAATTGTTGTTAATGATGGCCTCCTCCAGTCTCTGACGAGCTCTTTTAAGAAATTGCTCTTCTCCGTCTTTCCCAATGTCTAGATTAGTGATATAGAGAGTCTTGTCACGCGATTTTAGGCCGCGGATTACTTCTGCATTCGACTTGGGAATGCCAAATATCTATCATGTGTTAGCCATCAGCGTTATCATGCTATATGATAAGCGAAGTACTCATGAGTAAGGATACCTGGGCAAAAACCCGCGACACAGCTGCGTTCGCCTCTCCGTTCCTGGGCACGGCGGCAACGCAGACATCCACTTTCTCTGCTCCCACTGCTATGATACCTTCTCGGGAGCTGGATGCGTTGGGTTTGACATGGCATGCAATTTGTAGGCTGTATTTCTTGGGTAAGGGTTGGTTCTTATTGCGGGATTTGGTGGTTACATTCTCAATCAGGCGGAGTAGAGGAGTTGCGCGGCTGCTCATGGGTGGACTGTGTTTAATTGAGCCCGGTGTTAGAGATTTGATATCCTTGAGCAATCAAGGTAAAGGTTCTATCCCAGTTGTGCTTTTGATCAGATTCAGCGGTGGTGGTGTACGAGAGATGCAGAGTAGAAAGCGATAAGCATTGTTGACTACCGAGTCTTGGCTCGCTTATATATACTTCGGTTCATGCACAAAGAGGAAACAAGGTATGCAGAACAACGCAGGACCTGGAGATGATAAGGTACGAGATTGTTTCAGGAATCAAAGCCTGGATCTATTGCTAGAGCATCCTCAAGGTTGCTAATTAGCAGCAATGCCTTCTATGTCTGCAGCCACTCTCTCTGGAAGAGTCAACCTTGAGCATTCTTCGAAACATGAATGAATATGACAAGGTAAGAAGCCGTTTGGCAATTAGATGCGATGACTAGGTATGAATGATACATATGGTTAGCTTGCTAGGAAGAGAGTTCGAATTTGCAGTACTGCCAGCTTACTCGATAACATCTTCATGATAGAACCCATCGCTTAGTATCTCTCAAGCCTAGCATACCTCTGGCAGGCGATGATACATGGACTACCAGTCCGAGCCTCTTGAGGAGGCAGTTGTGCTTTCTATTGCTTTGTATACCAAATTTGAGATGAGTACAGAAAGTGAATGCAACGGGGAGCTCAAGCCGGAGCTCGATGCGTAGATTGTGAATTGCTTGAGACAGCATAACCTAGAAGCGAGCCAGAGGAAAAAAGATAAAAATAAACAGTCTGATGTAGGATGCAAACCGGTTGAGACTAACAAGATGTTTTGCTCATTCACTGCAATCCTTCCAAGGACGCTTTTCATCACCACCATCCCCGGGGACGCGTCCACTCTTCCATCAGAACACAACACATTCTTATCTCTTAAGAATAACATCCTTAGCTTAAGCTTGTATTTCTAAAACTTCTACATCTTTGGTTGAAGAGTTTCTAGTCTTTGGTTACGGTTTACCTTCCTCAGCAACTGCAGTTGACTGCTCTTTGTGAGTCTTCTTGACGTGTTTGAAGATGTAAACAGGACTGACCATGTAAAAGAACCTATTCACAGGATATCCATTGCTTCATCTCATATCTCTTCATTCTCAGAGCTCTCAGAGTGTCATACATCGTCATAATATTATTCAGATCAGAAAGCAAACAGTCCGGGGTCCCCAGTGTCCAGAGGGGACACTTACTCGTGCTCCCATGGACCACTACCCTCGAATGGGCCTCTTTCACAGAGGTCTCTATTATAGCAGCGCTCTTTACCCAAGACCAGGCTTCTACACTGGCTCACAGTTCTACGCACATGAGGAACGAGCGAACCCTCCTACCCTCGAGGCAAGTCAATTCCATCTTCAGCCTGACCGCCAAAGGACGAGGTTGAGAGTGACATTGAGAGTGATGCCGCATCAACCTGTCGTTGTTACCTTGATTAGATGTCTAATCATTTTTCTTCAACAGACAGCTTGGTACCCTTCGGCTGTCGCTCAATCGGTTACCCATCAAATTGATCCTCTGGCTCACCTGCGGCCCACCGTTGGACGCTCTCCCTATCCAATTGTCCAAGATGTGCCCGCTACTCGAGCGCAATTGGTAGCTGGTCCGCCTTCTCTATCTGTCTCGCAGCCTCACCTGCCTGTCGGATTGTCCTCTCGCCCAGTTTCCCAAAGAGTGCCTATTTCTCAATTGATACATGGACCGTCTCCCCTGTCTGCTACTCAAGCGGCACCGCAACCACGGCCTCGTGTAAGATTTGAGCCTTCTGTTCTGTCTGAAACTAAAGAAGGTCTTGATCAGCCTGCGGCTCCTTCTATTACCCACTCTTCACCGCGCGTTGAGCACAAACCCCCGATCAAAAACGCTGAGAAGAACTTGGTAGAGCCCAAGCCAGCAGACGCAGGCGATCAAACCACCCCTCATGGCGATCAAGCTTTCTGGAGTCTGGAGAACCTGCCTGACGTTCTTTACGTTCTCAGACCCAGAAGCGACTACCGCAAATCGAGACACCGTGTTTATAAAACAACTAATGCAATTACTGGAAAGCAGATCAATGACTTTGCCGTACTCCCGAGCCAAATCTCCTCCAACGTCGAAGGATGGAGACTCGAGGCCTGGATGCGTTTGGACCGTCGCATCACCCAGCAGGATATCATTGACCGCGTCAATCCCGAGTACAAGTTGACCGCAGATGAGATTGAGACTCGTAGAGAGAACTTTCGCGACACCTTCCATGTGGCTAATTGGAATGCGCAAAAGTCCATCTGGGCTATCGATCGCATGCTCAAGGCTACCGGAATTGACACCCAGAAGAATTCCACCAGGGGACTGACACCTGGTTTGATAGACCCATCGAAGGGTGAAGCCGGCGGACGCATCCCTATACCAGGAGAAAACATCATTCCTATGGTGAAGCAGCCAAGTATGAATCCAAAGCCCGCTCTCGGGAGCTCTGGTGAGATGTGCGAGGGTCACCGTCCTGGCCCAAGTCACGCTTCGCACGCAGATCTAAGAACAGAGCCGAGAAGGTATGTATCTTGGCCATCTTACTTCAATCTAGATCGTTACTTACAATGGCATTAGCCACGAGATCGAAGCAGAGCAGAGGACATCGCAGCAAGATCTCGCAATGGACAGGTAAGATTCAACCTGTGCCTTAAAGCGATCTCTATACTAATTGACATTTCTATCCAGCAATGCGAGAGCAACTACATTGCTGCAAATTAAAACAGTTGACTCCACTCATGCCGACTTCGAATACCCCGATGTTGATGGCTTGACCTATTGCAACGAGCCTCCCGCCCAACCCTTCGACGATGAAGACGATACTGTTGATGGCGCAATGACTTTGGAGAACTTTTTGAAGAAAAACAACATGTCGTACGAGGATTGGCTTCTTCGCGATTGCGATGCTGTTGACAGAAATACCCTGAAGCGTGGACGTGATGAGGATTTGGAGTCTCAGGAGCCCATGAACGTAATCGCCAGCCCGAAGCGCAGACGTGTCGACAATCCGGACATTGAGGCATCCGTGACCATGAACAACACCCGGAAGCGCAGACGTGCTGAGGATACGAATGTCGATGAGTCGACAGCTGGCGAGGATAGCCCAAAGCGCAGGCGTATAGAAACCTTGAACACTGGCAAGCCCGCCAAAAAATCCAGTGATGATTTTTGGGCCACTGTCTTGAAAGCCTGAGTGCTTACTGACCGATTGAGGATTGGAGGGCGTTTTCGGTACACACCAGGAGATCGCGTTGAGGTTGGGTTAAGCTGGCTGTTCAAGTTTCTTGAACTCTTTTCTATTTCCTTTGCCATGTATGAGTATTTGGGTCTTCGAAATGATTTTACAGGTATATGGTTGGCGCATGCTGGGAATCTCAAAGCTTTGATTTGATTTCATTTTTCATGGACATGATGACAGAGGCGGCATGCACTTTGTACAGTTTCATTCTTCAGAGATAGGAAATCCATGCCATACTGCTTTTTCATTCAGCGGATTGCATCACTTTTTCTATGTATTTCCCCTCACATTGGCCTTTTGCACGTTGTACAGGACTTCCTCTTCGTACCAAGTCGTCTCCGCCTGCGGCTTATCTATACCATCATCTTCTCTTACTCGTACTTCAAACACAACTCAGCTATGCTTCTCTAAATCAATCCTCAGACCGAGACTAGAGGCTATAAATAGGAAGTTCCAACCTCATGGCCTTCTTCCTTCTTCCACTCTCCTCAAGCCCCTCACCAGCCCACCAGCCTCTAGCCTCCTTCTAGACAAACACACAAGTACAACTAGAGACCCTATTCAGCCTCATTATACTCGAAATACAATAAGGACCCGCCAAGTGAGCGATTTTCAGCTCAGAACCACCATCTCCACTCCCCTCGTGCCTCTGCCGGGGAAAGGGGGCTCATTCAGTGGCGAGCAGCAGTCAATATAATTGTTCGCAGCTTACAATACGTCCAGCAGAGCAGACAATAGACTCCACGCAGCACCTGCCATCCAGCCACGGGATCTATTTCCGGCTTCGCTCAGCGGAGCCAATGAGAATCTTTTCGTTAGCGTCGTTCTGAGAAAAGAAGCTTTCCAGCCTCCTCGTGGTGTACCTGCAGCGCTGGGCGAAGTGGTTCTGGGTGGGTCTGCAGCTGTCAGTGAGGACATGACAGCATATGTACATGTCGTCGAGGCTTCGTCTGGGGAGAGCGGCGGACATACCAGGAATGATAGAAAGATGGGCAAGCTGCGTATCATTTTGAAGAGCAAAAATTCTACATTCCAGAAAGACAGCTTTCGACAGATCATGACCAGGTGTGTTTGTGAATCTGGAGTTCTCAGGCGCTCGCTAAGGAGGCGAGGGAGACAAAGACTGGAGTGGGCATGTCGAGTGAATAATCCCTCACCCAGTTTCATCACCATCGCACAACCAACTTCTCCAAATTCAGTCGACTATACCAACCTCCACATTATTGAGAAATCGAGAAGAATAAGGAGCTCTCAAAACTCAATATGGCGACGTTCGATTCTTTTGTTTCTTCGTCTATAAATCCCTCTGATCTGTCTCCTTCAGGATTTTCTTCCTCAAACACATTTCCACTTCATCATCGCAAGTACCAGCTTGCTCCCACAAATCATCACAACAACCAGCTTTCAGCAAAAAGCTTCAAGACACCATCAGGTGAGTGGTGATGAGTGCTCTTCGAGTTGCGAGCACAAGTGTTGCCCAGTATTGCCTGGGTTCAGCACTGTTTCTTTTGCATGACTGACATCGGTTTGCAGCCCTCAACAATGGGTAAAATCGAGAGAAAGAGTCCCGAGGGCTCCAAGAGCTCTGAGAAGTCTCAGGGCAACAAAAGTGAGTCAACTTCCTCATGTTCCTTTGGAAACCGATCCTAATATCGCAGCAGAAAGAACCCCTCGGCAGGGCAGCACTGAGGCCATCGACCCGCGGAACATTACCAGCTTCCGTGAGGACCAGAAGGATTGGTCCTGGGACAATCTCCCAGCCATCCTCTACCAGTTCAAGCCCACGAAGGAGGAGGAGAAGAAAGAGCGGGAGCCGCCCAAGATGAAAGTCTTGGGCGGCAAACGCGTCAAAGACATTGAGATCCTTCCGGATCATATCTCCTCGGACGTCGAGGAGTTCAGAGTCGAGGCATGGATGCGTCTCGACAGGCGCATCCAGCTACAAGACATCATTGACAGGATGCACGAGGATTTTGCAATTGAGCGCAATGCCCTGCAGCAGCGGAATGTCAGATTCCGCAAAGCCTTCAACCTGATCGCCTGGAGTTCAGGAAACAAGATCAGTTCTCAGCTTGAGCAAGACGTCCTGCAAAGAATGATTGACCATGGCATCGATCCCACCCTCAATTCGACTCGTGGATTGACTCCGGGCCTCATCAATCCTGAGCTTGGAGAAGAAGGTGGCCGGATCGCCCTTCCGGACAACTATGGCCCTGAAAAACGTGGCCATCGTGGACCACGCACGCCGAAGAAGAAAAGGGATGCGGCGAAGATCGAAGAGGACGTGGATATGACCGATGCACTTGACCCTACCACTCCCGTCGGAGAATCCGCGCCTCTGACTCCTCCCCCGACCATGCCAGCTCCCTCCGCCAAGACTGGCTCTTTTTTCGGCCAGCGTGCGGCTTCCGAAGAGTCGTTGGCTACCGTTTTCAGTCCTCTGATTCCGGGCTCTCCGGTTGAATGCTCCCCTGTTCCCCATTCGTCTATCGAGCCGCTCCCTTCTTCTTCTGTCCCCGGTTCTCCGGTTGTGAGTTTTACTGTTGCCGAGAAGGACGATCTCGACTCTTCTCTGGATGGCAGCTTATACGATGGAGACCAGTGCCCGACTTGCAACCTTGACTTTTTGCTCAAGAAAGAACCGCGACAAGAATTCGACTGGCTGAGTCCTTGCGAAGAGGAGCTTTCTGGCCTGGACAAGGATGTGCCCAAAGTCTTGAAGGCGCGCCACCCGTCTCAAATGAAGCGCAAGCACAAGGCTTTCAAGAAGGCGCTACCATTCTGCAATACCGATTCCCTGTACGACAAATTTGTCAGCAAGTTCGACCTCGACGACATGATCAGCGTTGTTCCAATTTCTCGCACGACTGCGCCGCCATCGCCGGTTCGAGTATCTCCATCCTTCATCTCCGAGCCCTTGAAGAGACGGCTGATCTTCAAACCACATCCTACCAAAATGGACATGATGAATGCGGCATACAACGTCACGCTCAACGAGTATTACGCTGGAGAGCGATTCCTTTTTGAAATGCCTTATGTGGAGGGTGTCATATGAGGGTAGCCTGCGCTTCTTATGTTTTGTTTCTCTTGTGATTGGGCGTCTGGTGTGCCTTTGTCAATTTGTCTTTTGTCCTGTTCTTTTGTTGCCTGGTGGCCTTTCGTTTCTTACGGATACTCCTTCTCGCTGGGGAAGTCCTCGATCTCCTGGGAACGTTGCTGGCGCGGAGTTGGCCTTGGAGTTGTTTTCGGTTTGCGATGTCTATTGTTATCGTTTGAGCTTGTGTCTTTCTTCGCTTTCTGCTTTTCAACGGCTGTTATGCCGTCTACTGGGCTTCTGGACAATCTCAACATGAACTGGTGTCGTTCGGATAAGGTTGATTGCCAAGAAGGCGTTCCGCGGGTAGCGTGACTGCCACGAGCTTGTGTTACACTTTCCTCTTTGGGCAGAGTGAGCCAGCCAGTGAAATCAATTTGTTTTTTCTTCGATTCTTCATCCTTTAATTCTGTAGAGTCGTCAATGCAATATCACCAGTATCACCAGTATCAGCTCGTTTGGCTCATGGCGCAATAGTGTTTTGTAATATGTTTCGGATATACTCCCAGTCTTGAAGCCTAACATGACGCAGTATATGGCAAGGATACCAGATAACAGTACATGACACACTCATGAAAGCCAAGAGAGATACAAATTAAACCTCCACTTATGTCTGCCTTCCCGTATGGAAGTTCTGTCCTTATATAGAGCTTGAGAGTCAGCTGCTTACCAAATCGAAGGAACAGTTTCAGTCGGAGATCTTCCCCCTCGAGTATAAGCCACACAGACCGGTAAGGTAGTTGCAGAGATTCTATAGCATTGAATCTAGAGTAGCATTTGTGATCGCTAAGCAGATTCCTATCAACCCGTATAGTTATTCAGCGTTATTGCAGGATGTAGTTGCTCATAGCTTGACCTCTTACATCTATGTATACAATTTATTTAAATGGCGGAACACTGCTCTATTGCTTCAAGTCTAGAAGAACGTCCATGTAGCCTGTAGAGGGAGGTTACTCACAGAGCAATAAACCTGCCATACATGGACATTCTTAGGTTCTGCTTAAGCAAGTATCACCTAGCCCTAAACTGTTCGCAATGTGACTTCTAGTGTGATATTCACAATGCTTGAACACACTCAGGTATAAAAACCTAGAGTTTTCTCCTCTTCCTCCTTATTCTGTATAACACTCCTTGACTCTCTAATCTTCAGCTTCAGTGTCACATTTCAAGCATAACACATCTAAGCCTATCTCCATAGACATGTCCTCTCCACCTGTTGATACTCATGGTATGTCCCCTCCTATTGCATTTTTCAATGTCGCAGAAACTAATTTGCAACGTCTTAGCTACGACCCAGTTAACTTGCCATCGTCAGTGTTTACATGTCTCTCGTCAAATAACGCCAATACTAACACACCTCTAGATGATGACACTCCTGACCGATACCATACCTGTGTCAACGACTACCATGCTGCCTACTCTGAAAACAACCTACCACCTCTCCTCTTCCGCATGGAGACACCAGCGTTCGATAACCTCCCCCCGCTCAGAGACCTGGTCGAGAACAACCGAGTCGTCAAGGACCGTGACGGCCGCCCCATCCGCGACTTTCCCTTCCTGCCAAGATACATCTCCATCCGCCCAGCAGGCTGGCTCCTCGAGTACTGGATGCGGACAGACCAACGCCTCGCATACCGCGATATAAAGTCGCGGATGGCCGTCCCCGAAGCCCAGCGGCCGCGAGAGAACAGTCTCAACATGCGGAGAGAACGCGAGTGCAGGAATCCACTGGCGCTATCCTGCTGGACGAGTCACCGCAGCACCGTGGGGAAAGTGGAGGTCGAACGCGTTGCGCGCTGGTCGCTTGACCAGATCAAGTATAACACGACCATGGAGATTGAGTACAGGAGGGGCCCTGACAACCGACGTACTGCAGTGCGGCTGCGCTCGAAGACCCTGGCTGGCGGCGTGCCGGCCTACTACCCTCTGGATTTGTTTCTGGATGGTGGAGAGCTCCACTCGCCCAGCCAGCGGGTCCGCGAGGCGTTGAGTCTCTTCTGGCAGTTGTCGGAGAGGGCTTCTCGGCTCCAGCTCGGGAGTTGGAAGCTGCTTCCGGCCGACGAGCTCCCTGAGGCGTGGCGGCGTAGGGCACAGCGCGGAAACATGGGCGGAGAGAGGGATGTGGAGGCTGGCTCAATGCGGTCTGACTCTGTCCAGCCGTAGACTGGGCCAGTCATCCAGGGAGACGATGCTATGATCGAGATAGGGTGCGTGGGATGGCTGCATGTATATTAATGGAATCCCAAGCCTGAGGAACATTGGTTTGTGGTTCCGGTCTTTGACACAGTGACAATGGAAAATTAACTATGGAAGATTGACCACCTGTTTCATGCAAAAGGATTGTAGTCGCCGAAGAGATGTATCTATCAGTAACAGAGGATCTCTACGGAGGAAATCTAGAAAAGAAGAATGCTATCTAAACTGGAGAATCCAGTGGCCACTCCTCCCTCGTTGACACCCGTCGCCTTGGTCCTCATCAGCCACCCGCCTTGCTCGTTCTGCAGGACATTTCCATTGGCTTGATCCCAGAGAATGGTTCCATAGATACCCAACTCTCCAATGACCTTGCCACTGAGAACCTCGCCATCACTCCTCAAAGCCACATTCTTGGCTTCAGCCGGCGGATGGATCAGTTCCATCAGGATCCACCGCTTCCATTCACTCTCTGGAATTGACCGTAGGAAGTCGGGAATGGCAGACTTATAAACGTTGTTACCACCTCCTTCCCGCTGCGGTTTGAGGACGTGGTTGAGAGCTGTTTCGGGGTTCAGAGCCAATTCTCTGCCGCGCCCGCTTGAAGAAAGGTCATATTGAGGCGCAAACGTTTCCCGTAAGCGGGCAACAGTGGCCGGATCGGTGTCTGCCATGAAGTTTGCAAGGTGGTCGGGTCCTGCAGTCTCTGCCAGCACTTGTTGTATGATCTTGCATCCAGCCAACTGGTTCAGAACGGTGGGGCATTTGATCGCTGCAGACCGCTCCAACTGTGTCCGCGCTTCCCAGTCACGTTCGGAGGTGTAATCAGTCGGCGCATAGAAGCAGCGGAGATACACCGTTGTCACTTCAAACTGCGTGTCTGGTGAATGAGGGGGACGGTAGATGAGAGGCCGAGAGGCGTTCGAGCCAGGAACTGATGTGTGATCCAAGACCTCGGTACTGAGTAGTCGGAAAACAGGGATCTTATGGACGGTAGTAAGCTCTCTGGAGAGTGCTAGCTGGTCAAATATGTTCCGCTCGTTCTCCTGTACCACAAACAGAATACACGTGGGAAGAGCTGGGCTCGACTTCGAAGGCCCGTAAGCAGTATGCGCTGCAGCCAGCCCAGCTGACAAGGCTTCCACAGCGGTGTTCTCGGGAGGTACGTTCGACTCAAATAGGGGGTGGGAAGGATAAGAGATGGGATAGCCTGGTGGGGAGGCGAGAAGCTCTGAATGGAGCTTTCGCACCAGCGAAGATAGGCCGCCGAAGGACGACGAGATAGTGTTAAATTCCACCTGCTTCAAAGACGGGGGGGCGTTCGAGTTGGTCGGAGAGTGAGCCATGTAATCAGATCGATATAAACCAAGCGACAAATTCTGAGCATATCCCTCCTTCTTGACTGAGAGATGAACTTTCCACAGGCGAGAGATGAAGTCGTCAACATCAATCAGACTACAGGTCAAACAATTTTTAGTTCAGAACTTTTCACGGATGCTGTACTCCGAAAGAAGTATTGCATTGAATCTAGGTCATAGAACAGCACAGAGTCTTACTCTTCCATGATCTTGCCAAGCCATTCCTCATTACATGTAATCGCGGCATAAAGCTTGTTGTACACAGTCTGCAATGCCTTGGCCTCTTCGAAGCATGCCCTCGGAAAGGGACTCGGAAATAACGTCACTGGAGCGTTCGTCGCCAGTACACCGTACGGATCAGACTCTTTTGGAATGAACGTAGGTGGAGGTCGGACCATCAAGCCATTCTGCGTAGCCCAATCCTTGATACTCTTCACCAGAAAGTCCCTCTGTGCGGGGTTCAGTTCAGGAGGATAAGTAGTATAGACAGAGTCACTCATTATGAAGAGCGGTGTATATCCTGCGATATGGAATCTCAGCACTCAAAGAATCCCAGAAAGTTAGTTCAAGATCAATTGAAGATGTTTCAAATGCAAATGATCCAACATCTCCTACAGGATAAGACCATTATTAATACTGTAGATGAGGGGCTGTTGCGATTAATCACCGGAGCTTCGGTGGGATTACGCCGTAGTCCGCCCGATGTACCGCCTTTGATACCGGCAGAAAAGAGCTCTACTGCGATAACCGACCGCCGATCTCCGTTTTAGGCAGTATCAATTTTGGCGCGTTATTATTCCATCAACGCGATCAATTCATCAGGATTCTTCCATTCCACAAAATCAGTACTGTCTGTTTGCACTGCTATCTCATATGTGCAACGTCTAGACTTTGACTATGTGAGATCGAGACTCTCTTGTCGCTCTCAGTAGCTCGCCCAATTCTTTTTTATGATATCTTTTGCTTCTATCGCGTCTCGCCTTTTATCTGACCAAATGGTGCCTTATAACTCAAGAGAAAACCTACTACATTGATAAGCTGGGCCTGCTGATGGGCTTTTGTGAGACTCTCCTGACTTCAGCTCACGGCATTGAGATTTCATTAACAAATTTAGCTCCACCAGGCGTCATGGAATCTGATGATGGAGATCCCCTCGACTGGACAGTCGATGAGGTAGTAGCCTTCCTCTGCCACAATCCCGAGACACCATGGTCCCAGTCTGCGTCGCAGGCCCCTCGGCCAAACCCTGTCCAGTTCGAAGCCGCTCTGCGAGAGAATCTGATAACCGGGGAGGTGCTGTTGCATGATGTCGACAAGGAGACTCTACGGGAAGAGCTTGGGCTCAGAGCTATCGGTCATCGTAGTTCTATGCTCATGGCAATACGCTACCTTCAGGGACGTTCTCAAAAGTACCAGCGTTCTAGGGTGGAGCTTGCTTCCCAACTCGATAATCGTCGGTATTCAGTTACCCCAAGTCACTTAGCATCTGTTACCCCAGGTCCTCTCCAGGAATTCTCGTCACCAATTCACCAGAACTCTGTGCCGCCAACAGCGACTCCTCAGAATCTATCAATGCAGCGCCCTCATTGGATGACCCTCTCGACATCTACACTATACCAGACCAAAAGGACCCTTCCCAGGGATGCTCCGACTTCCAGTGGTCCGAGGGCCGATGAGTCTACTACAATAACCACTACCGCTAAAGGTAGTGAAAGTGCAACCGATACCAGCGAGAGGCCTCCAAGCGTCCCTCCAGCTGCCGTTAGTCGAACGCCTGCGGAACAGCATATAGATCTATCCAACCCCGGCGAACGCGTGCGTGCTTATGAACACGTCGTGGTTGATGCCGAAGGAAAGAAGCGACGCAGGCTGGATTTGAGCTCTCTGCCTGAGCCACGAAAAACCCCTCGTGTGTCGAAGCCCTCGAACATTTCGCAAGACAAGGATTGGTACATGGGACCAGATCGAATTCTGCCTTCGCAATTATTCTATCCGTCTACGTCTGATGAGGAGGATCATTCATTCGTAATGCTTAGTCCTCCGAATTTGCCTACCGCTCAGCGCCATTTTGTGAGAAAGTGCATGAATTATTTCTTCAGACAGCAGCCCATTCAGTTGAGCTCTGATAATGAAACTAGTCAACTGGCTCTGATCCCGTATGACCACTCGAAGATTAATGAGCACAGCGAGAAATTCTTCACCTTGTACACTGCCACGAATGGGACTGTTTCTGTTACACAGGAGGACATAAAGAAATGGCCCCAATTAGAACAAGCAGAGGCTGCCAGCTCCCGATCATCGCAGACACTGGAACCATCCGACCCATACTCCTATCTCATTCAGAAATACCCTGCTGGGGAAGACAACCAAGACGTCTGCCCATTATACGGTGACTCGGGTTCAGAAGGAGAGTTTGATGAAGAAACTTGGCAGGAGATTGCTAATGAACGCGATGATGTTGCTCAAAGTAAACCGGCAAAGTTGACTCCCGCTGAGGTCGAGGCAGTCGTGGAAGATTGTATGGCTGAGTTTGTGGATCGGTGGCGCCAGAATGGCTTACCGAAGGAGGAATTCAAGGCCCGGAAGCTTTGGGTCACAGCTCGCAGGGCCAAGTGTACTTACCAAAGAATCAAGGCCATTAATCGCGACGTCACCTTGCTGGAGAAGCGGTTAGGCAAAGTGCTCGAAGCAATACGCGGTAGTGAATATGCCTCAAAATCGGAGTTACAAACACAGTGTCAAAGCATGGAGCAGACTGTTATCGATATACAGAAACAAAAGTGGCGGATCTCGGTCTTGGAGGAAGAGAAGTGTCCGCCAAAGGTTGCTGCTCCCCCCAAAACAAAGCTGCCAAAACTGAAGACGAGTGCCGCGGACGAGGAGTCTCTTGACTCAGAATCCGACGTGTCTTCAGACTTCCCAGATGACTTCATCGACGACTCCGAGGTTCAGGAACAGACGTCGTCTATTGAGGACTTTGAGAACGTGGACAGCGTCGGCAGAAGGCGAACACCGACGCCGACGCCTTCAACGTCCGATAGCGATGATGACATTATCAGTCCTTCGGGAATCAGACGTAGATCAAGGGCCAAGAGGTCGCCTTTCATGGCAACCAGCTCACCCTCTCCTGCCCCTTCCGGAAACGCGCTACGGGCGGAGATTATTGACCTCACAATGGACTCTCCTTCAATTTCAGCAGAAGAATTCAGGATCGAAACGCCGCCACTCAATCCTGTGCGACCCAGGTGGACAGAATCGGACGACATTAGCTTGAAGATCGAACGAAGTCCTTCAATATCTCCTGGCCCCCGACTGAGCTCCAATGTAATCGTCGAGATTCCGAACCGAAGACCAGAAATCATCAACCGGAAGTCTGAAGGGTCGAAATCGACGCGCAAGTTCGACACATCAGATCTGCCTGACCACAATGATTTCGTTGCTCTGCTGTCGTACCCTTGGGAAATTCTCGAGGAACGCCACGATCGCCGTAGATTGCTTGCGAAGTTAATTGCAAGCCTGCCCGACCGGGAGCGTGAAGAGATGGCTTCATCGATACCCGAGTACGAATACGGTGAATTGAATGACCTTGTCAAGCAGGCTCTCCGAATTCTATCGAAAGACCAGATGGAGATACCCCAACTCGATAGTGAAAAGAGCCGGCTATTAATGCGGACCGCCTCACAATTCATATCTTGGGTGAATTGCATCCACATTCCAAAAGGGATCTCCAGGAAGCACATCCACAAGGCTCAGGATAATATTGCTGACTTCAAAGACTTCCACAAAGAGCTTTGCAAGGGCCTAGGACTTTGCAGAGGTCTGAAGTTTTCTGAAGAACGGAGCGAGAAGAGCACTCGCACCTCAAGCGAGCATGTCGATGAGTCAGAGGGAGAAAAATCCGAACTTGTCCACGCGCCTCACAAGAAGCGGAAGAGGGAAGTAAAAGAAAGTCAAGATGCCAAACGAAACCAAGCAAGTGCACAGCAGCGTGTAGTGCGGCAGGAAAAAGAGCGAAAAAGGCTTGAACACAAGATGAAGCGCATGGGTGTAAGCAACACCGATCCTACTCGTCAAGCAGTGAGCTTTGGAGAGCCAATCATCTACTTGGATCCACATATTGGCCAACGCGTGAAGCCGCATCAACTGAATGGCATTCAGTTTATGTGGCGAGAGCTGATACAGGACGAGAAGCAACAAGGCTGTCTGCTCGCCCACACGATGGGTTTGGGAAAGACAATGCAGGTCATCTCGCTGCTTAACACTATAGCTGCTGCGGCTGCTTCCAATGATCCGAAGATTAGCGAGCAGGTCCCCGAGTGCTTCCACCGATCCCAAACGTTGATCCTTTGTCCTTCATCCTTGATTGATAATTGGTACGAGGAATTCCTCATGTGGACACCTGAGGAATGGAGAATTGGGCCTCTGAGAAAAGTTACGGCTTCGATGACAGCAGTTTCTGAGAGGTTGCGACAGGTATCTGATTGGGATGAAGAAGGTGGAATTCTGATCATGAGCTACGACATATTCCGAAAGTGGATACACAATAAGGAGACGGAAAAGATGCGCAAACCTCTACGGGATGATGAACATGCAAATGTGAGGAAATGGCTTCTGGAGGGTCCAAACATCATTGTCGCCGACGAAGCTCATAAAATGAAGAATTCTACTTCGGGAATATCTCGAGCGGCTGTGCAGTTCCGTTCTAAGACTCGTATCGCCTTGACCGGTTCTCCTCTTGCCAACAACCTGACTGATTACTTCACCATGGTGGACTGGATTGCCAAAGGTTATCTTGGGGAATTTCCCGAATTCAAGGCAAACTATGTGGAGCCCATCGAGGAAGGTCTTTACGTGGACAGCACACACTATGAGAGAAGAAAGTCGCTCAAGAAGCTTCAGGTACTCAAGGAGATTCTTGAGCCGAAAGTTAATCGGGCCGCTATCACCGTGCTAGAAGGCGATTTGCCGCCAAAGATTGAATTTGTCATCACTGTTCCCTTGACCGAACTGCAACGGGCCGCGTATGATTCCTACGTTGACTCTGTAGTTCAGGGGAAGGTAGAAGTTCCAGGAACCGCAAAGCTTTGGACTTGGATGGCGATCCTTGGGCTGTGTAACAATCATCCGGCTTGCTTCAGGGACAAACTACTCAGCCGCGCTAATGAGGCGCAAAGGGCAGGGTCAAGCCTGGACGAGATGTTACCAGGCGATGAACCTATAACACAAGCGGGCATTCCTGATTCCGAGAAGCTGGTTGTCGAGCAAGAGCGGCTCTTCGCCAATGTTCCTGACATGAAGGCGCTCAACTTGTCGTATCGGGCACAGCTCCTCGACAGGATCATCAGCGAGTCGATCAAGGCCGGTGACAAAGTGTTGGTATTCTCTCACAGCATACCGACTCTCGATTATGTTGAGCATGTCCTCAAGGTCTCCAGTCGTAGTTATCGCCGTCTAGACGGAAAGACTCCCATCAACACTCGACAAGCGGCGACTAAGAGTTTCAATACTGTTTCTGAGGAGAAAGTGTACCTCATCTCAACCCGAGCGGGTGGATTGGGCTTGAATATTCCGGGCGCGAACCGCGTGGTGATATTCGACTTCTCGTTCAATCCTATCTGGGAAGAACAGGCTGTCGGACGTGCATATCGTCTAGGCCAACAGAAACCGGTATTCGTCTACCGCTTCATCGCTGGAGGGACATTCGAGGAGATTATCTACAACAAGGCCATCTTTAAGACACAGCTTGCCGTTCGGGTTGTGGACAAGAAGAATCCGATTCGCTGGGCGTCTAAGAAGCTCAATGAGTACCTCTTTCCCGCTAAACCGGTAAAACAGCATGACATTTCCGAATTTGTAGGGAAAGATCCCTATGTGCTGGATAAAATAATCAAAGAAGACAACGGCGAGGAACGGGCAATTCGGAAGATTGCCCTCACCGAGACCTTCCAGAGAGAAGACAATGACAAGCTCACAGAAGAGGAAAGGAAGGATGTCCAGCAAGAGCTCGATGACGAGCGGCTGAGGCGTACTGATCCCCAGGCGTACCAGCGGCTGATACTTGAGAGACAGAGGAGGGAAGAGCACGTGAGACAGGCGGAGAGACTAGCAGCCTCGATGCCCATGTCTCAGCCTCAAGGGCAAAGCTGGCCTGGCAGACCCAACATGCCAATTCACTACGCGGCCGCGCAGCGAGCCCGGGTTCCACCGTCTCAAGTGCCTCCGCCATCTACAGCTCCCGCTAGGTCACATGACAGTGGGCCACCTGCTCCTATTCATACTTATAATGATGGCCCATTCGCTCGTGCACCGAACCAACCCATCTTGCCACGCTCTCAGTCCACGTCGAATGCAGTGGTGGCTGCGCCTCAAAATGCGGCAGTTCACGATGCTCAGCCTGCGCCTCGGGCTCAGAGCGGGCCACCGCAACAAGACGGCATGGTCCCTTCCGCTCTTCCAGAACCGTCTTTGCCGTCTTCGCAGTCCTCCGACCCACCATTACGCATGGAAAGCCGCAGTGCAAGTGCTGAGTCGCAACCCGGGCAAATGGACGGGGGCAGCTTGCAACCTGCACGGTCAAGGGATGACAAGAAGGACGGAGGAGGCTCCTGCAAACCGCAGTAACAATCCCAGAATGGCTAGCCTTATGGCCCGATTTTCTTTGCTTTTCGTGATTGCGAGCATTTGATCTCATGATATCCCCATCAGTTCCTGCGAGCATGGTTTTCTCTGCGTTTCCTGGGCGCCCTTCTGGGCAGGTGTATGCATCATTGATCTCTCTTCTCATTTACATTCTTGCTTTTAATGTTAATACTTCTGTTCTTTCCATATCCCCTATTTCTGAGTGAAAATATCTCTATCTTTTCCACTTCTGAAATCTGAATTTCCAATTTTCATCACTGGGATTCGCACAGGCAAGGCGTCTTCAGCATGGTTCACTTTTTTATCTTCAGGAGAAAGACAATGAACGAATTCACGGCCGCTCTCAAATTCATTTGAGGATTCCAGCGTAATGATGAATATTGTAGGACGCCTCAAGCTCGAGCAGAATGGAGTCTATCATAGTCTTCTTGAATTCTAGGTCTTCGATGATGTTTCTGAGTACTCTGACCAGCAGAAAGGAAAATTCGAGGGATAAACCGAGAATTCAAATAATCACACAGAACGAGAAGAAGAGAAACGTCGACTCCACTAGTCTAGAGGTCGAAATCCCCTGGATACTCCATACCATATTATTCAAACAGAAGAAAAGTCAAAGATAGACAGAGAATCTTGCTGAAGTATCAAGTATCATGAAAAGAGAATAAAGAGACAAGAATGAAAAGACCTATTGGTCAAGTAAGGAGTTTCTCCAGATCAGCGATCCTAGTAGCTCTATCGTCGACCTTCTTGTCCTTCTCGCGGAAGGCAGCCAGCATCAATTTGCGCTTCGTGTCCTGGATCTCCAGCACGCGGTCTTCGATGGTATTTTCCATGACGAGACGCCAGACGGTTGTCTCGCGTTTCTGGCCGAGACGGTAGACGCGGTCGACGGCCTGGTCCTCGATCGCGGGGGCCCACCAGCTATCGGCCAGGATGGCCTGGTTGGCCGCGACGAGGTTCAAGCCGACGCTGCAGACGCTCAGACTGGCGAGGAGGACCTTGCATTCTGGGTCCTTGGAGAACTTGTATGTGGAGGCGTCGCGGGCCGTCGAATTCATACTTCCGTCGATGCGGGCGTATCCGATGCCGTGGCGTTGCAGGTGAGGCTCGACGAGGTTAAGGAAAGAGGTCCACTGGCTGAAGACGACAGTTTTGGTATCGGGGGCTTGGCCCTGGGCGGTGAGGATCTTCATCAGGGCTTCGATCTTGCTGCTTGGGTTGTTTGGGTCTGCGACGACGTCGTCGTCGGCGCTCTCGCCGAGACGCACGGCGGGGGCGACGAGGGTGGAGGTGTCGTCGATATTGGCGCGGCAGAGGGGGCACTTGTGCTGTCGCTCGATGACTTGCTCGATGCAGCCTCGGTCGTAGGAATGGCCGCAAGCGGTGATAACGGGCTGCTCTAGCGTATCGAGACAAATGGGGCACATTTCCTGGCTCTCGATTCTGAGTTGCAGCATGTCCTGAAGGGCTTTGATGTTCTCCGGGGTCAATGGTACGACCTTGTGCTTCTCCAGTAGACCCGTGAGGGCGTCGATGCGGTGTTTACAGAGCGCCCAATGGTTGCAAACTTGTCGCATGCGGAGAAGGACCTCAAGCACGTGAGAATATGTGGTGCCTCCCTTCTCTCTGGACTTGAAGTCCATAAGCATACCTTTCGCTTCGGATCTGTGGACTGTCAGCATGCGGTCATCGACTTCATGGCAGAGGGAAACGTACTGGAACATGTCATATTTCTCTTGTTCATGCGGATGAAACTTGATGCGCAGCACGCGCGAGGTGAGGGCCGGCAGGCGCAGGTTGACAAATTCCATATCCTTTCTTCGCCTCAAGCAGATAGTACTCATCAGTGCCTGGAGAAGGAGACGACCGTTTGGGTCTTCAGAGGTTAGAGGGCGAATGAGAACGCTGGTGAAGACCGCCATGTCTTCCAAGCCACCCGCCAGTCTCAAGAAGCGAATCTGGGAATACAGATCTCTCAAAGAGTTCACAATAGGCGTGCCGGTCAGAGTCCACCGCGAATCCGCGCGCAGATTGCAAGCAGCCAGCGCACCCTTAGCTCTGGGGTTTCGAATTGTGTGCCCCTCGTCGAGCACGACACGACGCCAATGAACGGCAAAGAGTCCCCTATTGGGCGCTGCTTTGGCATTCGGGTTGTACTCCACAGCGAGAGCACCGTAGCTCGTGATTACCACATCATACTGGTCGAGTTTCGCAGCCTCTTTCTTCCCAGCACCATGGTAAATGAGCACACTTGGCGTGCTCTCACTGTGGGTATGGTCTTTGATCTGGTTCTTCCAATTGCTCATGACTCCGACAGGTGCTATGATCAAAGTGGTCTTCAATGACTCCGGGGTCTTTGGCTGAGAGTTGGCCAAAATCAATGAGATGATCTGAATTGTCTTGCCCAGACCCATATCGTCCGCCAAAATACCACCACTTGCAAGAGGGGGTGGAATAGCCGTTGAGAAGTTGGTAGCGATATTGGTGAATCTGTCTCCAGCTCTCTTCCAAAGCTGCACCACGTCCTGAGAACCAGGCGCAGGTAGTTGCGGAGACTCCTTTCCGATCATCCACGCCAGCCCCTGCCGCTGGTACGGAAGAAGCTCGGTAGACAGCGCCGCAGGAGTATCCGCCATAGGCATATTGACCAAGTCGGCCTCATTCAAACCGAAATTCTCCGTCGCCTGGCCAATATCACGAGGATTAAAGGTGCTGCTCTGACCGATAATGTCCTCCAAGCTCTCCCGAGTCTGACCGAAACCGTCACCCGCGTAAAGGTTGGCATACATCGGGTTGACGCCGGCCTCCCCCTGCTGCCCATTGCCCGATGCCAGACCGCGACCCCTTCTGGCAGCGTCCTTTTGCGCCTTCTCGCGCAGTTTGCGCTCCTCAGTCTCCCACCGATTGAATTCGGTCAGGGGAAGTCGATCATCAATCATCATGCGCTTCAGCCGCTGCCGCTCTTCCGGATGACTGGTACCGTACAGCTTCAGCATAACCGGGCATGTAAACGAGCCAATCTGCCCCGTCAACATGCCTTCGATAAACAGCGACTTCGAGTCCTATGTTGAATTCGACGTCAAATCGACAGCCCAAAACCAAAGCCATTCCTTCACAACCGAGCTCCGGTTCAACTCCTTACCATATATTTTGCCAATCGAGCGGCTACATCTCTGGGAATATGACCAATTTGATTCCCCATGACGTTCAAAACACGGATCGCATTCCGGTCATATGGGTTATCAGGCTCACGGTGCAGAAGCACATGTTCGCCGATAGTCGCGTAGCCATTGTAGTACCGGACCCCCACGATCTTGGTTCGCAGGTTCCCGTAGTGCATAAAGCTACTATAGGAGGAATCATCCTGGCTTCCCTGGATCAGGTCCTCGGCTTCCGCGTCGTCCTCTCCATCCAGGATAATGGCCTGAGAGGACTGGCTGAAAGGCACGAATTCGGTAGTCTCGCCGAATCGCTGGCCGGGGATAGTAGTAGTAGCAGTCGTGTTGCTACGAGGACGCGTTGCTCTTTTCCCCTGGGGAGTAGTGTCTGTGTCGTCAACGGTGGGGTCGACTTGGTCGATGTTCCGCTTGGCACGAGGCCGCCCCATGCTTGCTGCGAGGGATGGGTGCTTGTCCGTTAACGTCGGCTTGACGCGACGCAAATGCGGGATAGATACGGAGAAGATGGGATATTGGAGGGAAGCTTGCGGATGGAACTTTACCAGATTCGGAATAGTTGACAGCCGGGCAGAAACGCGCTAAGCCACGGTCCCACGTGATCCACATAGTGACCTTACTGCAACAGGAATGGAGGACTGCCGTGATCAGAGGAAGAGACCAGTATTGAAATCTTTGAAGAATGATGAGTTTATTCATATTTATGCAAAGTCTATATATGATAATGGCTACATTTTAGAGAGTTCAACTCTTGAACGAGTCGCGCGTGTTGACACGGTCAATATCATACGGATTCGCATCGTAGACGTCCTGCGAGGTCACTATCTGAGACCGATGCGATTTGGCAGACTTGTTTGAGATGATTGATTGTCGGCGACTGAGCTTAGCAGGGTCCAAGGAAATCCTGTCTACCTCTGAATCCGCAGAGGTGGGCTCCGAGGCTGCCTGGCTTCTTTCCTTCTCCTCTTCCTGTGGTTCTTTGACGGTTCGTTCCATCAACTTCCGCATGAATTCGTCCGACTCTGCGGCGAACTTGCATCTTCTTCGAATGACAGACCCGTACTTGTAGAAGAGGAACGGAAAGGGGACACAAGCAAGTGCCAAGAAGGCAGGTATGGACGAGGCCCAATGAATACCTGGACCTGGTTAACTTGACCTTCACGGCGAGACCGAAAAAGGACTTACCTAACGAGCTATACATATACTGCACGAACAAGGGAAAGGCGGCGCCGAAAATCGAGCGCAGGACGGCGCTAGCAGCGAGCACAGAGGCGGCGAAGATGGTGTACGCATCGATCATGTAGTTCATGAGGCTGAGGAAGACAAGAACCATGCCAAACCCAAACGGCACACCAGCGGAAATACTGGCGAGATAGTGGATCGAAGGGTAGTTTGTCCAGGCAAACCAGAAGAGGCCGATGGGAATGGCCACCGAAGCGACCAGGCAGGGAGGCAAGCGCGCCTCAGGAGGCGCGAACCCATTATGTGCCTCCTGGGCTCTGATATACCGCTTGTTATCGAAGATGCTGTAGGCCACAGCACATATCATGCCGATCATGATCCCCAGGAAAGCCAACCCTGACACGCCTTGGTTCCAGCCTCGCTGGCCGGCATACACGATGGGGAACGCGCCAAACATCATAAACAGGGTTCCATACACGATTGCCATGAAGATTGACAGCAAAAGAACAATGGGTTCTCGGAAGAGCAAAATCCATGGGCGGGACAGCGATATCTTCAAGGAGTCGCCAAGTGTTTTCTTTCCTTGTTCTGCTTCAATCCTGCTCTTGTAGACTTTGCCAGTGAGCTTGGAAAGCTTGACGGCTCGCTGACGAAGAAGAACGGGCGCATATGTTTCTGGGACGATGAGACCCGCGATGATCCAGAGCGCACCAGAAAAGATGGCCAAGAACCCCATCACCCACTTCCATCCCTCCGTCATGCCCAAGAAGCCACCAATGACGGGCCCCAGGACGGGACCGAGGAACGGAGCCGACGCAAACAAACTCATTGCCAGACCACGATGGCTCGCCGGGAAAAGGTCCGCAATGACGCCGCCTGCGTTAGTCAAAGGGGACGACCCAAAAGCTCCGGCGAGGAATCGGAAGATAATGAGCGCTTGAATGTTTGGCGAGCCCGCGGACGCGGCGTTGAAAATGGTCAGTCCGCAGTAGCTGACCAGAAAGAGATACTGTCTTCCCCAAAGCTCACTCATGGGCGCAAAAACCAGGGGACCGATCGCGAACCCCAGCACGAATGTGGACACACCCAGAGTTGCTACTTCAGTGCCGACGTGAAACTGTTGCATGATCTGTTCCATGCCGCCAGTGTACGCCGACGAGACCAGCGACACGGCCAATGTCGCCCACGCCATAACCATCGTGTAGGTCCATTTCTTCGACATGGAAAATTCCAGAGGGTTTCGGGGATCATCGAGAATCCATGTGACTAGGTATGGGTCGTCTTCTGTGCCTGAACCGGCGAAGCGATAATCAATGATCTCTTGGGTGAGCGCACCTTGGTCGAAGAGAAGACGCCAGTGCGATATCCGAGTGGGTTGAACAGGCTCGATAGTATCAGCCGAAGCTGACTGCCTGTTGGCGCTCATCCGTGCTAGACGATGGGATTCTGCAGGTCGACGAACGGACGAAGAGCCACCAAGAGTGGACGTTGTTCTCTAATTTTCGAAGCTCGAAGAGTGCAAAGCATATATACTATCGTAATAACTTAGAAAAAAGACAGTCAGTAGTCTTACGGAGGAAGAATGGCAGCCGGAGGTGAGTTAATATTGGGTGCATTCGGAAGAGTAGCAGCTTTGGAGAATCAAAGTGCCCGAATCAAGCTCAAGCTAGAATAGAATCAGACGGCGACTGGACCCGAAGAGGAAAGCCGCTGTTTGTCTACTCAGAGTACTCAATAATATGAGTATGTAGTATTTCGGGAAATCGGCAAGAGGCCGAGAAATGGTGGCGCATTAAGATCCAATAACTGGCGTGATGGGCATACGGAGGGGAGCATGGTGATTAGCTTAGCCTCTGGGCACCTAGACAGCTAGACCAGTGTCATAGGCAAGGCTAGCTGTGATCGGATCTCCTTTCTGCCGATGGATTGGACATAACGGTGACATAACGGTGATAATAGACGAATGGAGTGATTGATCATTATGGGAAATGCGTTGGAAAAGCCTCATTGGGAATAGTTGAGGGTCTCAGGGCCAATCTGGTCGATAGCAACCTGGGAGGAGTGTTCAGAGTCGATGGGGATAGGAGATTAGACGCCTTGTCCGAGACAGGGGCATGGGGTTTGGGCGTAAGACTCGGTGATAGACGGATAAATCAGCCTGACATGGTGGGCAGTGGGCACTGGGCACTGGACAGTCGGACACGAGATGCACAGAAGATGACCTGATCGGGATCATAGTGTCCGGAGCAGAGTGTCGGTTCATTAAATTATTGACACTGAAGTTATGAAGGGATCCTGTTGCATAAAGGTCATCAGGGATCCCATAAAAGGAAGGCCAATACGAGATATGGATTGCACTTAGCTCTGAGTCTCTTCTCCAGTTGATGTCAGTGCACTGGGGATTCTCCGCTCTTTTGATCTGGGGGAGTATCCGCAGTGGGACTTTTCACTCGGATGATTCGAGGACCATTGCGTATCGAACGAGGGATCAACCACGGATGGACAGACTCCAGTAGATAGACGGATCATGAAGGTGGAAGAGTTCTCGTCGCTGCAGATACGAATAAGCTAAAGCAAGGCTGGTGCCAATAATCCCAGGCATCCCATTCAGGCATGTCACTTGGTGTGGAGTATGAGTCTCCCATCCAGAAGCTCTAGAGCTTAGATGCAGCTTCAGAATCATCGAAATCACATTTGAGCTTCAAAATCAATTGGGTCGAAACAAGCTCTGAGAAAGTAAACCAGCATGGTGCAGTTATCCGTCTGTTGTTGTCTTGTTTCACAGCATGGATTCAAAGCACAGCCTCATTACCACATCTATACAAGATAGAGAGGTACATCCATGCTGAATAACTTCATGGTAAGAAAGATCCTATTTTGTCTCAGGATAGCATGAAATAAATGAATAAGATGTCAGTCTTATCTCATCCGGATCTGTAGTGGCCCATTTCATCATTGTTTTCGGCTCTACCAAAGACAGAAGAAATGACGATTGTTAATTTTTTTTATCCCAACAAGAATTGAAGAATCATATTGCAATATGATAGTGCAAGACATGATGAGAGAGAAGGAGATTCTTGTCCTGCATCATGTTCTGCATCACGATTGTGAGCATCCCTTGCATTGAGCTTTTCACTTTTTCTTTGTTTTTTCTCCGTCCCACAGTCCTCCTCGCCCTCAATTCCATCCATCTACAACACTAACTCTAGTTCCTCGAATTTCTTCATCCTTGGATATTCCCTCAGCAGTCAAAATCTGAACAGTCCTAGACATCAAGAAACTGACTGCTGATGGCCCACCCCAGCTCTTACCGCCAAATCCTTGACGACAACCGCAACCGGTTCGAGCTCCTCATCCAGCATGGAGACTTTAAACCCTTCTACCTGTGGCATCTTCTTGTCTTCACCGCTCTTCCTTTATGCGGTCTGTTGATATCCCGGCAGCGTGGAGCGCGATATGTCCGCCCCGTCGTCTTTGCTCTTATTCTCAGCACAGCCGTTGATGTCATCCGACACCGGCGTGCGCTGCTAGGAGCAAACGGCTATATGGGAGGCTTAGTGACTGCCTGGTGGACTATTTGGAGCGCAACAATTCTCATCTTCAACGATGCCGAAAGAGACTTTGAGCGAATCGAGAGGCGCTCGTCTGATGCATCATGTCCGGGCAAGGCGCGGACACCAGACGACGAAAACAAGGCTCGGTCTAATGACAAGGCTGCGAATGGTCACATATTCAAGGCGAAGCAATATGCATCCCAGCGGGATTCGGAAACGCTCGCCTGGCAACCGTATCCCCGCGCCTGCTTGCACCGTCTCAACTGGGCGCTGGGCCTGCTCTTCAATATGCGAGGACCAGAGTGGAACTGGCGCATATCCACCTTGGATCCGTTGCCAGACTCGCTGCAGACGCAAACAACTACCAGAAATGGGCAGTCCGCCCGTCAAGCAATGGACAAGACCGAAAATAAAGCCGTCTCGCAGCCCGACCCACGGGCGCGTCTGAACGCCGTCCTCCTCGCCTTCCTCGAGCACTATCTCCTCCTGGACCTGCTCAAGGTCCTCATGATGCACGACCCGTACTTCTGGGGCATGGTCTCGTCGGCCCCGGCCCGCCCATTCCCATTCACCCATCTCCCACTCCCGACTATCCCCCTCATCCTCGTCCGCCTCTACCGACTCATCCTGGGCGGCCTCGGCGTCTACGCCGCTCTAAGCTTCGTCACCTCCCTCAACCCCATCGTCTTCCTAGGTCTCTCGCTCGCCTTCCCCAACGCCTCGCGCGCTTTCACACGCGTCCCGCTCGATGCCCCCTGGCTCTACTCCGACCCCTTCGGCCCGTTCCTCGGCCCCGTCCTCGACCACGGCCTTGCAGGCTGCTGGAGCCAATGGTGGCACCAACTCTTCCGCTTCGGGTTCGCCTCCACCGCCAAGTTCCTCCTCTCGCTACTCCCCAAACGCCTCGCAGCACGCCCCAGCATCCGACGCACCGTGACGACCGTCACCGCATTCTCGCTCAGCGGCCTCATCCACGCCTGCGGAAGCTACACCCAGCTCGCCGAGACGCGGCCCCGCACCGGCCCTTTCGCCTTTTTCTTCCTGCAAGGCGTTGGGGTCATCATCCAGACCCAGCTTGCGCAGCTTGTCAACTCCAGGCACCGGTTCTCGCGGCCGACCAGACGCGCCGCGAATGCCGTGTTTGTCGTCGGGTGGCTGTTCCTCACTGGCCGCTTGATCGCGGATGATTTTGCCCGGGGCGGGATCTGGTTGACGGAGCCGTTGCCTGTCAGTCCGCTGCGCGGGCTGGGGCTCGTGTCGAAGGGCTGTCTCTTATACTGATATGTCGTCGCCAACGGACCTACGCAATTGTGGGCTGGTCGACGGGTTGG